AGGGGTGCTAAGATTAAACATGCCATTGCTAGAAGCTAAGCAATTCAGGGTTGAAATATGTCTACCCACATTGCCTTTGTTGCTGCTTGAAGCAGAGCAGATTTGGCTATCTCACACTGTTTTGCTGCTGCAGCATGGTGCCATTGTGATAAGGTGGCCAAAAATTATTTTGGAGATGCTTTTTGTTGATAATGCATTTGGACTCAGGTTTCTTTTATTTGAGTGTTGCCTCGACCATTTGTCCTAACATTATTCAATCAAGCTGATGAAGCATGGAGGTTTGAACCTGCAAAGGTTTCGGCTTTCTTCTATTGTTGTAGGCAAGATTATTTATCCTTACTAAAAATATTCTCACGAAGTTCTTACATTCTTTTAGCACAATTCAAGCAAGAAAAATATTTCGGTTTAAACGTCACTAGTACATATAAATACCTTTATTCTACAAGAACAAAGTCCTGCAAAAATAAAGAAACAAAACCCCTAAAATCAAATTCAACAATAGGATAAATTTCTAAAACTTAGTGACTCGAGTATCAAAGAGATTTTGCATGTCATCAAACACGAATGGTGCAAAAGAAAAAGCTTACTTCAAATTATCAAGAGAGACATGTCCATTGAGCGTACCATTCTTGACCCCTTCTTGACCTTATTCGCTACAAATGCTCTTTCCTCAATTAACTCTGAAACTGAACAAATATCAATTTAGTTATATACAACAGCAGAAAAAAACACTTAAAAATCTAACTGAATTGAAATTAAAGCAAAATAAAACCTGAATTGAGCACGCAAAAAAGATACCTAGTTATGTATCATCAGTAAATTTTATTGAAAATCAAAGGCATCAGCGAGGAAGATGAAGAGAGAAGAAAGCTCACTATGATGAAAAATAGCGAAATAAGGATTAGTGTATGCGGTGGGTTCAAAAAAAAAGCCACGTAGAGTTTACATTAAAATGACTAGAATAACCCTAACTTTACTTTTATTGCCATGAAGTAACCAGGTCGAAACTCTGGCTCTTCTAATATATAGATGGTTATTGCCCGTGCTGGAAATTGTCATTATTTCAGAATTAAAAGAACCTAACAGAACACCAAGAGCACAGATATGACCTGAAGCGTAGAGAATGTATATATAAGATGACAATTCCCACCATAAGTATTAACATCAGACAACTTATTAGTGAGATTCATCCTCATAAATGCAATATTCCAAATAGACCGGATACATATTACTTAAAAAGAAATAAATCTATCAGCAAGTTTCAACTGTTATGCTACTATCTTATATTAACCATCATATTACTCTCATATTACTTTATCAGTGAGGTAGCTTCTAAAATAAAACATACCTGCACGATCAAATACAATAAAGATATTGTTAGAGGCACTTTAATCCAACATGAAAAAGGAAAAAAAATAGATATGCGAACAGACAAGCCCTTACAGATCCTGATCATTGTATTCACATTAGCACCATGTTGGGTATGTTTCACCTCTTAATCTGCTCTGGCAGGGAAGATCTCTTAATAATAAAGAAATACAGTCTGAAAACATGGCCCTATTGGATGGTCAATAAACTTAAATGAGCCTTTACACAACACAAAAAGTTTATGAATACGATCCAAGGTATAAAGTTCTCGATTGACAAAAGTGACATGTAAGATGGCTATTTCGAATAGATCTTATACACAATTTTACTTTCATATATAAATGAGACATTCAAACAGGATATGGTTTGTGCTTGGATTAGCAAAATATAAAAACTAATTCTTTAAGTTAAACATCAAATTGATAAACTCTAAAATGTATGGTATTCCAATGATCATTTACAGAAGCACTTGATGCCTCACTGGACCACACTCAAGACTCAATATTCTTACAGGAAAGAAATATCCTTATTAAATGTGAAGCTGACAACTAATTCTGTATGCATTACGGCATAGTCTAACTAACATAGTCAAGAAAATTAGCAAAAAATAGTTTTTTTTTTCTAGCCTCTAAGTTAAAACAATTGCGAAAACAATTAACTATGTTTTTTGGAGGACCCTTTCAATAAAATCCATGGTACAAAACATTCCTATATTTACAGTTATTAGAATAAAGAAACTAAAAGAATGCTTTCCTATCCACCTCCACTCTAAAACACATATCAAGCACCTCCAACCATAAAGATCAAAGTAATCCTTTTTCTTTTGGGATGTACGGAATATCTGCTAGTTAGGGACTAAGAACTATCAAAGTAAAAGTCACAGCCAACAACTATATGCAAAATAAAAGATGTTCAACTAAGCAAGAACAAAAGATGATCATCTGAGCAAGGACTTGTAGCTTCAATACTCATCAATACATACAATCAGCAAAATGATATCCAAAATATTGATTCAACATGTTGATTTCGTAATGACTAAAGTCAATTTTAATGATTTTCTCGTCATATATTCTCTTATTATTCTTAGCAAGTAAAAATATTCACTTTATTAAGGTCAAACTTGTTTGCTTCATAATAGTCCAGCATGCTGCCTATAGGGACCATAATGGTTAGATTCACTATCTAAAATTTGGCATGTATCCAGTCTATTATCATTACTCTAAACGTCATTGTACGTAGGTATACATCCATTAGTCATTCTCATTATATAGATCATCTCTTGTAACACATGAAAGAAAATTAGACAGAGGTGAACAGTAATCCTTTTCAAATAAAGTGCATTGTCCATCAACACAACCATAGTGCCCTATGCATCAACCATTTCAAGAAATTAAGAACAATAATTACCACAGACTTTTTTTAATAAGTAACATCTAACGAATATACTCACAGTAATTATTGACGTAAAGATAGATCATCAAAGTCATTTATCGGGAAGAAAATACACCAGGAAAACATATATGAAACTTGGGAGTAGACTACTATTTAATAATTAAAAACTTCCACATCAAAAGTCAAGATTTTCAGCCACATTAGTGTGTGAAAATACCTAGGACGCCAGAAATTTATCAATGAAAGTACTTTGTTTCTTCGGAGAAGGGTCAAAAATATCCCTCTACTATGTGAAAAGGATTATATATACCCTCCATTATACTATTTGTCCATAAAAGTCCCCGAAGTTATAAAATTGGTACAAAAATATCCTCCCTCCGTTAGGACCTCCACCATGTCCAATATCATCCCATATGGCCTAACATTTTTCTGAGGTAAGCGCCACGTGGAAATGCCACTTCGCCGCCCCAACCCCATTTACCCTCCTCCCCCTCCCCTACTTCTTCCTTCACCACCAACTTCCTTCACCCAACCACCATCATCAACATTACCCAACTACTATAAGCACTACCACCACTCTCATCATCAATAAAACAGGTGGGATGATGTCCATGTCGTTTGAGGGAGTGAATTCATAATTAATCAAACACGTAATTTTGTCAACAGATGTCACAATTTATAGAAAAGTTTTTTTGAGAGAGTTCGATGTACGGTCAAAATTCTTCCTTAACATAACTCTTTTACCTTCTTAGGAGTCGATGATCGGGAATTGGTTAAAATGAAAAAGCATTTTGACCTCTTTTAATTTGAACTCTTCAACGAGTGACTCAATACTACTGAGAAAATAGACAAGTTCATCACTGATAATAGTTTAGATGTCATCTCTATAAGGTTTGAATACCAAAGTTGCATCACAGTGATTGGAGAATTCTTTTTACCAAATTACTGATGAAGCAAGAAAGAGAAGAGAGGATGATGACTGATGAAGCAAGATGTATAAGAGAGAATGATGAGAATTTAAGCTAACAAATTAGGGTAATTCTATTCTTGTCGTCCTTCTATATTTGTTATTCAGTTTATAAAAAGGAGAAAAATTCCATCTCTTTGTTGGGTTTTATGGACAGTAGAATGAAGGTTACAAGAAATTCTACTTTTCATTAGTGATAGTGGATATGGTAGTTGGGTGAAGGAGAAGGTGGTGGTGAAAGAAGAAGTGGGGGAGGGGGAAGAGGGCAAATAGGGTTGGGGCGGTGAAGTGGCATTACCACGTGGCGCTTACCTCAGCAAAATGTTAGGCCATGTGGGATGATATTGGACATGGTGGAGGTCCTAACGGAGGAAGGATATTTTTGTACCAATTTTATAACGTTGGGGGTTTTGATGGACAGATAGTATAACGGAGGATATATATGATCCTTTTCGCATGGTAGAGGAATATTTTTGACCCTTCTCCGTTGTTTCTTTAATCAAAATCAAGTTGGTACTTAGGCTTATTGTTTTTGAATCTCAATTGCCATTTAATACTAAAAGGTTGTTAAAATTTTTTATTAAGACAGTAAAATTTTTACGACACTTCTTTGATAAGAGCTTTAGAAACACCTTCACCAGATTGATGCTTCAGTCTGTTAAAATATTATGATTAACAATCTTATTTTTCTCCCATTATAACAACTCTCAAATTGCAAAATTAACAAGTACGTGAAGCACCCAGGAAAGCACAGAACTTCAAAAATCAACAAGGTTAGAGTTTAAAAATGCAATTTTACCATTCTATTATAAAATCAAAAATCATGAAAAGAACCAAAATAAAAAAATAATTTTCCCACTTTCTCTCTCAAATCTTTTGAACTTTCAGGTAAATTTTTTAGTCTTTAATATCAATTTTATTATTTTCTATGTGTTGTTTCTCCTTTTTTTAAGTTCCAATTTGTTTCAACTCACACAACATCTGGAAATTTCTGAGTTATGGTTTTAATGGATGAAATTGGGGAAATGTTTCCTTTTTTTTAAGAGACACTGAGTATCAGTTACAATCTAGTTATGTTTCTGTCGACTATAGCCGGTCAAAATCGGTTGTAATGAAACTGCCTCGTCTTGTTGGTTGATATTGCATAGCCCGCTCAAATGCAGTTATTTTAGACCACTTTCTTCTTGAAATAAGACTTGATGCTGCTGCAACATATCATTCAGAAAGTGAGTAGAAAGAAAATGAAACCTCATGACTAACATTTCCATGCCTCTGCCTAGAAAATTATAGTAGTGAATAGAAACCCTTAAAAAAATTAATCAGGTTGATCATACATTTTTATTGACCTTCATAGAAATTCTTCACAAAGGAGTAGAAGCATATGTCGAAAAGTCTGGTATTTGCTCATATGGTCCTCAATACAACAATATTTTTAAAGTGACATATGCTATTCTTTCCTTCAACCTATCGAGTCTCTATATCGTCGGTCCAGTCATAACCTTCAAGAAATCTACCAGATGGACCATCTTTAGTACTCACAACTACAACTGCCGTTCTTAACTGATTTGGCATTTGCTACATCCAAAAGTCATGTTTCAAATACTTCTGAGAAGGAATTTGTGTCTGTGCAAAATTCTATTACATGCACAAATATCTGCTAAATTTTGCGCCTTAGCTAAACTAAGGATGCCAACATATTATTAGAAATTGTTGTATATGCTCATATTCTTGACTTTTGTCCTGCAAAATACATCAGAGAGTAATTGGTGAAAGCACTAACATATGATGACATATATGCTACAAGTCATAATGTGGTTGCCACATGAACACGAGGAGATGGATGGTTATCTTCCTATATTGAGATGCAATACATCAAGAGGAAAGACCCCAGATAGCACTCTGTCATACAAGTCAAAGAAAGCCATGATATTAAATAAAAAATTTCATATCTGAACATTGACTTGTACGTTGGTTGAACTCTCACCTCGATCATTGACACCCAGAATATTCTCATCCGGAATGTAAAAGTGAACAATAATGTTATAGATTAGACCTTGCACTGATTTTACTTGCCAATTTGGAAAAGAAGAAATTCAACATGGATAATTCAAATTTAAAATTTTTGCATAGCAAGATTTTATAGAAAAGACAAATTTTCCATTTAAAGAGTGTTCCTTAATGCTTGAAAGACCCACTAACAACCAACATTCCATTTGCAGGTTTCTTAGTGGAATAAAATAAAGCACATGAAGGAAGAAATTTTGATTCAAGTAAATTTATTTCTTACTGAAAAACCAAAGCACATGAATGAAAATGCTTTGATGCATGTGCAGTAGAGCTTAGAAAAGATACCAAGGAAGCATTTGCCTTCAAATCTTCGAGATTTGAATTTCATCTGTTAATCCCCCTTTTATATTCATTTGTGCAAATGATGAACAACCTGAAATCCATGAATGATCAAGGGAAAAAAGGGACTACTTTATGGATTTGAGACATTTGCTAACAAATGAAATGCTTACATAGTACATACAAAGCTACTTAGAACACTTCGGACAGATATAAAAGGTAATCGTTAGAGTAAATAGATCAGGTGCCTTCTTGATCTTACCTCTTTCATTATATTTACTGATAATCATGTTGGGTGTAAACTTATCTGCTGATTTTCTCCGAGAGGATCATAATTATCATAAATTTAACTCCAAGATCAGCGGACTTGACTCACAGAGTCCAAAAAACAAATAATGACATGTCAATTTATCAAAAGCGAGACCTTTTACTTTAAGTGATTGATGTAACCAAGAGTAATCACATATGTCTTTTGTTTCGAGTAGCCTCATAGTAGAATATTATATAAAGTCAAGGAAAGCATTAAGAAGGAAACTCATGGAACTTAGGAAGCTCATATTTATGACCTAACAAGGATCACTCATTACGCTCATTTTAAAAAGTAAAGGAAAGTGTAAGTATTACACCTTCACGAAAAGAAAGTTTTTAGATCATTCTAAATCTCTTCCATGGAATTCCCAAACTTTTCGGTACTCTTTCTGTTGCTCTGAGTCATAAAGACTAACTAAGAGTTGACGCCTAATCTAATATTTAGGCAAAACTGTTTGCACAAGCTCCGCTACAATAAAACTAATAAATAGAATAAATATACAAATTGATTCCCTATCTGATTACCTCAAACCAAAAAAGTCATATTGAGAAAGTAGTACTTTTTATATAACGCAAAGCACCAAAAAGCCCTATTCAATAACTTAAAGTTGGTATCTGACAAAGTATACCTCTCTACTATAAAACCAACCAGCAGTTGGGATAGAAGACCAAATTTTATGAGGACTTCATGAACTACCACTCCCTTACACAATTGGTACACATACAAGAATCTGTACTACACAGAGTCTCCTATTCTATGGTCGACCAATTTTTTTTGAGCTTGCAAGACTTTCCACCTTCATTGTTAGAAAAGTGGAGCTTTTACTAATTAATATTTATCTTTTTTCCTAATCATTTACCTTTATTTGTTTTCATCCATTTGCACTTTTGCAGACGCCACTTTGTCATTATTGCTGGATCTAGATTAAACAAAATGATTCAAATTGTACCCAAATTTGATTCAGATCTCAAATGTTTTCAAAAGGGTAAGATTATGTCTCAGAATTGTTGTAATTTGTAGGTAAATGTTTATCGTCGGAAACACTACTAAAAAATCTATTGTTAGAAAGCTTCAATCTACCTCCATGGTGGATGGCAAATGCAATTCCCCTCTAAGCACAAACAAACACGTGAAAAAATTATGAAAAACTCGGTAGAATTGAAGTTTCATTTTTGCTCTTTTAGTTCTTCAGGGATAATGGTAAAACAAGGGAAAAAGCAGAAAAGATATATGGTAACAGAAACTAACTGAATACGATGAGAAGAAATGTGATGTACCGGTAAAGCAGCAACGTATGCGAATTGATAATTTTGTAAAGATAAGCCCTAATTTTTAGCACCACATCAGCTGGGAGGAGTGCAAGAAAATGAAAGAGAATTTGTGATGAAGTATAGAAAATATTGAAAGTGGAAGTGGAAGACAGATGTCCCCATTAATGCAAAGATCAAACACAGGTGGCAAAATAGTAAAAATTAATAGTAATACACATGTTTAGAGACACATGGTAAAGAAAAGGAATAAGGCCTCAGCCGAATGTCCAGTTTCTGTCACGGCCCTAAACCGGATTTGGTCGTGATGGCCCCTCTCGTGAAGACAAGGCCAGCTGACACAATCCCATTTCCAATCTTAAGCAGTAACTGTCACGACCCCAACCCCGGTCGTGATGGCGCCCAACACACTGCTAGGCAAGCCCGACCAATTTAATAACCTTACCCATTTTTATGCAGTTCATGAATTAATTAACACAGTTAAATTACTAAGTCATAGCACTGGAAATCTGAAATAGAGTTAAAACATGCGGAATCCCAAATAACAATACTACTACACAGCCCGAAGAATCCGGTGTCACAAGTCTGAGCCTCTAATACATGAGTATCAACCTACTACATATCGCTCTAAAGAAATGCGGAAATGAAGCAATAGGAAAGAAGGGAAAATCAGGACTGCGGACGTCATGCAGCTACCTTGATACTCCCGGATATGTGCTGCTCGGCAGAGAAATCCTCACTCAGCCTCAGATGCACCTGGATCTGCACGCAAAGTGCAGGGAGTAATGTGAGTACTCAGACCAGTGAGTAATAAACATAAATAAAGGCTGAGAATAAGAAATCCTGAATAGGCACAATGTAAGCTATAATGCAGCAATTTAAACCAAGTAGTATAAAGTCAGTAAACCAATGAAACCAATTATGGAAATACTGCAGCAGATAAGTAAATAAACGACAGTCAATATGAAATGCAACACATAGTACGGTACTCTTTAGTACCCGCTGCGGGGTGCAGCCCGCTCCATTTATTTATCGTCGACGGCGCTCACTGGGGGTGTGCAGACTCCGGGAGGGGCCCCTTACGGCCCAAGCGCAATATAAGGCCATCTCGTGGCATCAACTAGGCCCTCGGCCTCATATCAATATCAATATAATACCGCTGCGGCGCGCAGCCCGATCCCATACTCAGTCCAGAATCACACTCGGGCACAATAATATAGAAATATTCAGCCCTAACTACATTAGAAATATTAATTAAGATTCAAGTTTGAGAAAAAGTGGCTGAATTTGCAAAAAAACATTATTAATTACTAGGACTGAGTTCAATAATATGTAAAAATGGTAAGAAACCAGTAATAGCTGCGGCACGAAGCCCAAATATGGCAATCAGCTCAAATTATAATGATAACAAGTGAAATTCAGTCAAATACGCAGTAAATTCATCTATCGGGACGGACCAAGTCACAATCCCCAACGGTGCTCTACCCCACGCTCGCTATCCGGCGTGTAAGTCACCTCAATATAGCACTACGATGTGCAAATTCGGGATTTCAAACCCTCAGGACATCATTTACATCTATTACTCACCTCAAGCCGGCCAAAACTCTAGCTCGCTATGCCCTTGCCTCGCAATTCGGCCTCCTCGCGCGTCGAATCTGACCAAAACCACAACGAATACGTCACAATATGCCAAAGGAACATAACCCAATCGAAAAGAATCGAAAAATAGCAAAATCTTGAAATTAGCAAAACCCGAGCCCCGGGCCCACTTCTCGAAACTCAGAAATTTTCACATCAACGGGTTCTTTATCTCGCCACGAGTCCATACATACCATGAACTCCCAAATACGAGCTCAAATGACTCATCAAAACCCAATTTGAAATATCAAAACTCAAGCCCTAGTTCTTCCCCCTCTAATCAATCCTAGTCAAAACCCTCTTCAACTCCCGTCCAAAAGCTCTCAAGGATGCTCAAAAATGGTGGAAAAAATAACTTAGCTCGCGGATGAAATATTATTAAAAACCCTTCTGCCAGCTGACACTTTACTCTATGCGAACGCGAGGGCCCACTCGCGTTCGCGATGAACAAACTTTTCCACTGGCCAATTTACCCTTCGCGAACGCGGTGTCCAAAACGCGAACGCGAAGCCCTGGGTTCCTAAACCTACGCGAACGCGTCACTCAACTGTGAACTCGAAGAACAACTCACCACTGGACCCCAATCCTTATACGCGAACGCGTAGCTCCTCATGCGAACGCGATGCAATAACTCCTAACCTTCCGCGATCGCGAGGCCTCAAACGCGAACGCGAAGGGTTAAATCTCTGCAACACTGAACTGAAAAACCTGCAACCCCCCAAGTGCCAAAATTGGTCCGTTTGACCATCCGAAACTCACCTGAGGCCCCTGGGACCTCAACCAAAAGCACCAACACATTCTAAAACATCACCCAAACTTGTTCCAATCCTCAAAACACCTCAAACAACACCAAAACCATCAATTCACATCGGATTCAAGCCTAAGTTCTTCTAAAACTTCCGAAACACGCATTTGATCAAAAACCCAACCAAAACACCTCCGAATGACCTGAATTTTGCACACACATCCCAAATCACCTAACGAAGCTACATCAACTCTAGGAATCCCATTCCGACCCTCGGATCAAAATCTCACCTATCAACCGGAAATCGCCAAAATACTAACTTCGCCAATTCAAGCCTAATTCTACACCGGACCTTCGAAATCACTTCCGATCACACTCCTAAGTCACAAATCATCCCCCGAAGCTAACCGAATCATCGGAATCCATATCCGAGCCCTCTAACTCATAAGTCAACATCCGGTTGACTTTTTCCAAAACAAGCCTTCCTTAAAGAGACTAAGTGTCTCATTTCCTTCTAAAATCAATCCAAATCAACTCGTTCACACAAGACACTTATAATGAAGCATAAAAAAGCAGATAAATGGGGAAAACGGAGCGGTAACTCACGTGACGACGGGTCGGGTCGTCACATGGTCAAGAAACATACCTGAAGCCTCAAATAGGTGAGGGTATCTGCTCCGCATCTCTCGCTCGGTCTCCCAGGTAGCCTCCTCCACGGGCCGACCTCTCCACTGCACTTTCACCGAAGCAACATCCTTTGACCTCAACTTCCGAACCTAACGATCCAAAATGGCTGCTGGCTCTACATTATAAGTCAAATCACCCTCCAGCTGAACCGTACTGAAATCCAGAACATGGGACGGGTCTCCAACATACTTCCGGATCATGGAAACATGAAAAATTGGATGCACGCTCGACAAGCTGGGTGGCAAGGCAAGCTCATAAGCCACCTCCCCGATCCTCCGAAGTACCTCAAAAGGCCCAATGAACCGCGGACTCAGCTTCCCTTTCTTTCCGAATCTCATAACACCCTTCGTGGGTGAAACCTTCAACAGGACCTTCTCACCAATCATATAGGATACATCTCGAACCTTCATGTCCGCATAACTCTTCTGCCTCGACTGCGCTGTACGGAGTCTCTCCTGAATCACCTTCATCTTCTCCAATGCATCCTGGACAAAGTCTGTCCCCAATAACCTAGCCTCACCGGGCTCGAACCAACCAACTGGAGATCTACACCGCCTCCCATATAAAGCCTCATACGGAGCCATCTGAATGCTCGATTGGTAGCTGTTGTTGTAGGCAAACTCTGCAAGCGGTAGAAACCGATCCCATGACCCTCCAAAGTCAATAACACAGGCGCGTAGCATATCCTTTAATAATCTAAATGGTGCGCTCGGACTGCCCGTCCGTCTGAGGGTGAAAGGCTGTGCTCAACTGCACCTGAGTACCCAACTCTCGCTGAACCGTCTGCCAAAACTGAGAGGTAAACTGAGTGCCCCGATCTGATATGATGGAAACTGGGACACCATGCAACCGAACAATCTCCCGAATATAAATCTCTACCAGCCGCTCTAAAGAATAGGTAGTACAAATCGGAATGAAGTGCGCGGACTTGGTCAGCCTTTCTACAATCACCCAAATAGCATCAAATTTCTTCAAAGTCCAAGGGAGTCCGGTAACAAAATCCATAGTGATCCTCTCCCACTTCCACTCAGGAATAACCATCTGCTGATGCAAGCCACCCGGTCTCTGATGCTCATATTTCACCTGCTGACAATTAAGACACCGGTCTACATACTCCACAATATCTCTCTTCATCCTCCGCCACCAATAGTGTTGTCTAAGATCCTGATACATCTTCGCGGCAACGGGATGAATGGAATATCGCGAGCTATGGGCCTCCTCCAATATCAACTCCCGAAGCCCATCCACATTGGGCACGCAAATCCGGCCCCGCATCCTCAACACACCATCATCACCAATGGTCATATCTCTGGCATCATCATGCCGCACCCTGCCCTTGAGGACAAGCAAATGCGGATCATCATACTGGCACTCTCTGATGCGGTCATACAAGGAAGATCGAGAAACCACACAAGCCAACACCCGACTGGGCTCTGAAATATCTAGTCTCACAAACCGATTGGCCAAGGCCTGAACATCAACTGCAAATGGCCTCTCCTCAACTGGAATGTACGCCAAGCTCCCCATACTCGCCGCCTTTCGGCTCAAAGCATCGGCCACTATATTGGCCTTCCCCGGATGATACAGAATAGTAATGTCATAATCCTTAAGCAACTCTAGCCACCTCTGCTGCCTCAAATTAAGATCCTTTTGCTTGAATAAATGCTGAAGACTGCGATGATCAGTGAATACCTCACAAGATACGCCATACAAGTAGTGCCTCCAAATCATCAATGCATGAACTATAGCAGCTAACTCCAAATCATGAACGGGGTAGTTTTGCTCATGGGGCTTCACCTAACGAGAAGCATAACCAATAACTCTACCCTCCTGCATCAATACACAACCAATCCCAACTCTCGAAGCATCATAATATACGGTATATGAACCTGAAGCTGATGGCAAAACCAATACTGGAGCTGTGGTCAAAGCTATCTTGAGCTTCTGAAAGCTCTACTCACACTCGTCCGACCATACAAATAAAGCACCTTCTGAGTTAACTTGGTCAAGGGCGATGCAATAGAGGAAAAACCCTGAACAAACCGGCGATAATAGCCTGCCAACCCAAGGAAGC